AGTGATTCTCCTGCCTCAGCCTCCTGAGTAGCTGGGATTACAGGCATGCACCACCACACCCAGCTAATTTTGTATTTGTTTTAATAGAGATGGGGTTTCTCCATGTTAGTCAGGCTGGTCTCAAACTCCCGACCTCAGGTGATCCGCTGGCCTTGGCCTCCCAAAGTGCTGGGATGACAGGCGTGAGCCACCGCACAAGATCAATATATACATATTTTTAGACGGAGTCTATTTTTAGACAGAGTCTGGCTCTGTTGCCCAGGCTGGAGTGTGGTGGTGCAATCTCAGCTCACTGCAACTTCCCCCTGCTGGGTCAAGCGATCCTTCCACCTCAGCCTCCCCAGTAGCTGGGAGCACAGATACAAGCCACCATACCTGGCAGTTTTTTGGTTTTTTTGAGACGGAGCCTTGCTCTCTCACCCAGGCTAGAGTGCAGTGGTATGGTCTTAGCTCACCGCAACCTCCACCTCCCGGGTTCAAGTGATTCTCTTGCCTCGGCCTTCAGAATAGCTGGAATTGTAGGCGCAAGCCACCGTGCCAGTCTAATTTTTGTATTTTTAGCAGATACAGGATTTCACCATGTTGGCCAGGCTGGTCTCGAACTCCTGACCTAAAACGATCCACCCGTTTCGGCCTCCCAAAGTGCTGGGATTGCAGGCATGAGCCACTGCAACCTGGCCTAAGATAATTTTTTAAGTCTAAGAATCACTGTGCAGCCAGATGCAGGGTGGCTGAGGTGGAAGAATCATGTGAGCCCTCTCAAATTACCAAAAATTAGCCAGGCGTGGTGGTGCACGCCTGTAATTCCAGCTACTCGGGAGGCAGAGGCAGGAGAATCGCGTGAACCCGGGAGGCAGAGGTTGCAGTGAGCCGAGATTGTGCGATTGCACTCCAGCCTGGGCAACGAGAGCAAAACTCTATCTTAAATAAATAAATAAAATTGAAAAAACCACACACGCACACTGCGGTGGGGCGGCAGCGTGGCAGCAGAGAGGTGGAAGGGAGAGGTAAGAAACAAATGATAAAGCAAATGAAGCAAATTGTTAACAATATATGAACCTGAGCCAAAGATAAACGTCCGTTCTTTTGCACCATTCTCGCAACTTTTCCAAATAAAACGTTTCTTTAAAATCACGTCCATGGGATCTGGAGTCCAAGCAGAGCCCCTTTTCTCACTCGGTGCATGACCCCAAACGAATTCGTTCCTCTCTGTTGGCCTCAGTTTTCCAGCACAGATGGTTCTCTCTGGGTCTGGTAATCAATGTCTCGTAACTCTGAGGACGTTTCCAGACAGGGCTTGGGAAGGAAGATGGCCCTTCGTTTTTTCACCACGACTTCCTCCAGAGTTTCACCTGTCTTCTTTCATCAGCTATAAACTTGCGCCTGCTAATTTTTGGCACCAGCTGGACGCCCACCTCCTCTTTCCCAGAGCCCTAAGGCTCACCTTCCGGCAGTCTTTACCTCTGTGCAGGACAGGCACGTGCATTTATCTCCAGGAAACTACAGCCCCCTAAAGGCTTTGCGGCAACACGCTTGCGGTGATTACCAAAGAGAAAACGCTTTCCTCCGCGAGCCAGCCGCTGCATAGCCTTTTGGGAGTTGTAGTTCCGCTGCAAAGGGCCGCGGAACCGGGGTAAGGTTCCAAGCCACCCTTCCCAGAACTCACAGCGCCCTTCCTTACCAATAGAAAGCGTGGATCTTGGAAAGGGGGCGGGGCAGAAGAGGAGCCGTGCGGCGCACGCGCAGTATGCGTGGTCGGGGAATTCATGTGGAGGTCAGAGTGGAAGCAGGTGAGAATGGAGGGGTCGGTAAAGGCCCGTCTCTGGGCATCTCTGCAATCCTCCTCTGCTCCGTGATGTGCACTTTGGGCAAGGAGAGTGCGTGCGTGAGTCCGCCTTGTGAGGGAAGTGAAAAGGAGCTGAGCCCGGGACGAGCCAGGGATTGCTCAGAGTAAGGGAGGTGTGCATGGGGGCAGGGTGAGGAATGATCCAGAAGCTATTAGAAAGGGAAAGGGCCGAGTGTCCCAGCCTCGGAGAAGGAAAATTTAAATGCACGGGGCGAGATCAAGGTAGTCTCAGGGGTTGAGATCTAGGAAATAGGGAGGGAGGGTTTGAAACTGGAGCGGGCAAAGACGGCGGGGCGGAGCATTAGAAAGTTAGATGCTGAAGTAATTTCTAGTTAGGTCAACTGTGCTCAGGCCCATCCCGCCTCAGCCCCACCCTCCCAGTTCTTCCAGAGCTCACTGTCACTGTACAGCTGGTTAGAGCCTTTTTCCCAAATGGGTTCTCCAATTATATTGGCCCCAGGATGTCATCCAGCTCCTGCTTTCATAAGAAGCAGGTCTTTCTTAATACACGATGTTGAGAAGCAGTATGATGAGGAATTAAGCTGTGTTTGCTAGCATTAAACCTCTGGGTTCTAATTCTGGTTCTACCACCTAATAACTATGCGATCTTGGCTTCTCATGTAACCTCTCTGTGTGCCTCTGTTTCCTCTGTAATTATATTCTTCATAGGGTAATTGTGAGGAGTAAATAAATTGCTTTTATTAGATGGCCTCATATAAGTGTTAGCTGTTACTGTTACTTTTTTTGTTGACATCAACATGTAGCACATTTTTTGAGTTATTTTTTTAAACTGTAATTGCACCAGTCCAACCACAGCCCCTTTTTGGGGGCCCACTTGTCCAGGAAATGAGAGGGTGGTTTAGTATGGTGCTAAGTTCTCTATGGATTTCAAGCCCTTGCCTTGTTTTCATTATTGAACCAAGTGTCCCAGGCACCTTACTTGAAATGATTGAGAAAGAAAAAAAGAAATCAGCCAGGCATGGTGGCCCACACTTGTAATCCCTACACTTAGGAGGCCGAGGCAGGAAGATCACTTGAGCCCAGAAGTTCGAGACCAGCTGGGGCAACATAGCAAGACCCCATCTCTGCAAAAAATGAACAGAATTAGCCGGGCATGGTGGCACACTTCTGTGGTCCCAGCTACTTGGGAAGCC